TTTGTTGCCGGAAATTTTGGACCATAACCTCAAACACTTTAAGATACATTTCCTGCTATTTAATATTATGGTATCTTTTGAACGATATATTTCATGTTCGATTTAGTGTAGCCACTTAATGCTTTAGCAACCCCATAACTTCTTTATGAGTAGATAATTTAGTAAGCAAATAAGGAAACTTAATTATTATTTGAAAATTTAATTGTAATGTAAAACTATGCAAAGTCATGAAAAAAGAATTAAATGCATTTTCTTAGTTCTTAAATATATCCATTTTATTTATCTTTCTCATTAATAATATTATTCTTGACATTTTTAACATTGGTTTGTATCAATCTTGTTTTTATTAGAATACATAACTATTGTTAAACAAGTCTAATTTACATTAAAAACTCTAATGCATAAGCTATATTTATAACCGAACAATGGGCTCGCCTTAAGATTAATGAGGCTAAGTAATGAGAAAGAAAATCGATAGTATTTACGCAGACAAGCATAAAAGAATTATTACGTAAAATTACATTGTTTTATACACAATAGAAAAGTAATTAACTTAAATCAAGGTTATTTTTCGAAATAATTTCGTTAAAAATTTTTCCTGCACCAAAGTTCTTTTCCGGGTTTTTACGATATCGAATACGCCGTCGTCGTCATTCGATCGCAACGTTTTACGATGGGTGCTTAATTTTATCACCATGTGCCCTTCAGTTCAAGTCTACAGCAGCGTGCATTGAGAGTGTACCATGCACGATTCAGCTTAATAACTGGTCGACACGGAAGAGGTTATAGGGTTAAAACATGGAGTGCAAAAAAAAGGCGTGAGAAAACCGGAAATACGAATGCATTACCGCCGTTCGTAGCTGCGAAAATTTACTAGGGGATTCGTTTTTAGCGTTCGGCAACGTTGATGTTTGGCTTTTCAATCAGATCCTTTACAACTCTACCCCAAAATCCGGGTCACGTAATCGCGGAATGTGTGCTGCTTTACGCGATGATGTCGCGTAACAAGTTGATGAATATTTAAACGGAACTACGGAAATGGTTTCTGATAGGAATCGGCGCGGGTTGATTCTTTAATTTTTCCTACTTTTACGACGCTTTTATTTCGGATCGTAAACTTCGAAGAATTAAATTACTCTCTTTTGCTATTTTTGAGTGTGTTTTGAAGGAAAGTCTAAAAATAAACTTTTAATTTAAACCACCAGTTCATTATAAATCTGGCAATCTCCACCAACAACATTTATTGTTAACTCTCATTTTCAGTTTTTTGGTGTAAGTTGTTTTGAAAAACTCCAAGTTTACTTTTTAAACTTATTTCTTAAAGTTCATTATGATGAAGAGTATAACTTGTCACGACGAAGTAATTTTTCATCACGATATCACCATTCATTCACTGTTATTGTGCATTATCTCATTGTCCGCGCGTCCGCGTATATCTTAAGCGAAGACGTCGAGGTCGGCGGTTTGCCTTCCAAGCGCTGGAACAGCGACCGGAGACTCCGGAACATTAAACGAGATTTATTTGTTGTGGGTAATTGCAAAGGACGACAGTCCGTGTGCATGTGATAGTCATTTGCCCCGTGTCCAATGTAAATTCCGCTCACCTCGATTTACATTAAACACGGCCGGGCGCAAATGACAATCGTCATTATCGCAAAGAAAGCCAAGAGAATAGAGGGAGGAATTAAAACAGCCCCCGCGAGACGATCTTATCATCGGGCTTGGAAGAATTATTACCGGTCGTTTGCATGTAAAGATCTTGTTTAAAGAAAAAGAAATTCTCAATTCTTTAGTGTTTATATTAATAATCATTTCTTTTATATTTACATACTAATTATTAATCGTTATACCATTCATCATCTAAAATGGAGCGATCTAATTCTGCATAAGTCACTGATAAGCTAAGCGACAATTAACATGAACATTAGTGGGATACAGCAAATGGTGACGGATATAGGCGACGCATGGCCTCAGATTCTAATCGGGCGGGTAACGTATCATAATATACGAAGTGACCGCAAATCTCCAAATAACACGTGTTTGCGTATTTGAGCCGTTTGGGATTCGATAGTGTCGAAACGTGTTCCCTCTAAAAGGACGTTCGCGTACAGACTGTAATCGGCTCAACGACGACAACGGACAGCAGACTTCGTGTTTTCGTGGCCGTTTGCATTAGTAATGCGCTCAACGACCACCTCGATGTCCCCATTTGATAAAAAAAACAACTCTCGACAGCTTTTTTATTCCACCCTATATCTACGACTTTTAGCCAAGAAATACATAATACATAAATGCATTATAAAGGTAATATTCTAGAAAGACTAATATATACAGGGTGATTTATTAGCACACCATCAAACTTTGACATATGATAGCTAATCCAATTACCAAAAAAAAAAGTTAATCAACATATGTCCTATTTCAATTATTTACGAAATTGTAACACTTTAAAGTTTTCTACAGCGAATTTATTAATAGTCAGTAAAATCAAACATTCAACAAACACAAATTTGTCATTGTAATATGTCAGTTTGCTGTAAGGTTTAATTATTACATACAAGAAGAAACTCAAAATGTACGCTTATAGCACTGAAGGGTATGCTGTTATAATTTTCGTGTATGGTTTTTGCAATGGAAGAAAGATTTCCACAGCGTCGTTTGCCATATTATTCAGTTTTTAGCGATTCTTTTAGAAGACTTCGAGAAACAGGTAACCCTGATCCAGCAAAATCAGCAAAAGCTATTGGACCGCATGTAGTTAATGTAGAAGACGAAGAAGCTGTAATTAATGCTGTCATTGATAATCCTTAAATCAGCACTAGAAGAATAGCACACAACATACTTGATAGTGAAAATTTTGCATGGCGCGTATTGAACCGCGAAGTCCTTCATCCGTATCGTAAACAGAATGTTCAAGCTCTACAGCCAGGAGATAATCAGCAACGGTTAGCATTTTGTGAATGGTTATTGCAGCATGACTTCATTTCAAATGTTCTCTGGACAGATCAATCATGTTTTACACGAGATGGTATAAATAATTACCATAATGAACATATCTGGTCGTTACAAAACCCGCATGCAATTAGACCAAGGAAATTTCAACAACGTTTCGGCATCAATGTTTGGGATGGAATATTTAACAACAATTTACTAGATTTGCATGTACTTCATGGACGTTTGAACGCTGTAAATTACAGATTTTTTTGAACAATACACTTTTTGATTGACTTGAAGATATACCTCTTAACCTTCGAGCGGGCGCGCTCGATTTTGTAACACGAGCGGGCGCGCTGTGTATGAAATTTATAACACAGGTCCGTATCAATTTTCGAGCGGGCGCGCTCGATTTTATAACAAAAGACGAATATAACAAATACATTTTATGACAACGGGTTCGCATTAATAAGTATGTATTAGGTTATTAAAAAACACACATTTTACTAGAGTAGAAGTATATAATATGTATTAAGTAACTGTTAACATAAAATGAAATCAATGAAATGAATTCATTTTTAAAAATCAAAAACCTTTAACAAACTATTAAAAAAACAAATAAAATAATAAATATTAAAAAGCAAATAAATTATTAAAAAACATACACATTTATATTTTACATTTTGCGACATTTCAAGGTTGTTGCGATTTTGACGGTTTGTAATTGTTAAATATTTTATATTTTAATTTGAATCAGATTCATTTTTACAGTCTAAACAAATTTCTTCTGTAGTAAATAATCTGCTATTAATTATAATTACGCTGGTATAATAGTTGTCAGTAGTAACATTTCTGTTTGAATTTTCTAATGGTTTTACCAATCGCTTTACAATATCCATCTGGTTGCTTGCCGCAATAAATTTCTATGTTGTATGTATAAAAAGTTTTCACATCGCAGTGCATACATTTTTATCCCATATTTAGCGGGTTTGCTTGGAATATACTGTATCCATGCACATCTACCTCGGAAAGGATGCAACATTTCGTCTATTGGGACGAATTCACCTAACTTGAAAAACGCTGGCTGTTTTCTAGAAATTTCTCGAAGAAACACCGAATTGCTGCCAATTTGTCAGTTTTACGCCTATCGACTCTTGTAACTTTATCATCAAAGCGGAGAGATCGAGTTAAAAACAAAAACCGTTTGTAGCTCATCACTGCTCTAACCATTTGAATACCTGTTCCATCGCTGCTCCAAATTTCTTATACATTGGCAAAATGTGACTTTTTAATACCTATTAAGAAAAGTATTCCCAAATAAGCCAATAATTCGTTTATGTTGGTATCTTTGATATCTCTGCTTCGTGTGTAATCACGATTTGATCTCAGAGATTCTATAGGTATAAGTATTTTTATGTGCCACAATACTTTCAAGCATTATACTATCGATAATTTTTTGAAATAGTTCTAATTCACTATGATTTTTTACACCACAAGTAGGACCTGAAACTTCTTTTATTATGTTAATATTTTTAGTTCGACTTGATTTTGCGTATTTTGTTCTTTTCCACATGCTGACATTGTCTTTTCCAACATAAAAATCTTCAATACATGTCTCAATGCTTTCTTCATCCTCTTCAGAAGAATTATCCTCTTCAGATGCGCTGTCAAAATTATTCACTTCAATTTCTTCATCACTCAGATCACTTCCAGCTTCACTATCTTCTTCTTCTTTTTGCGGTTTATCAAATAGTCCTTGAATGTTGTTATCAATGTCACTTTTAGATAATATTTCTTGTGCTGCCATCATTTATCTATTATATTTTAACACTTGTTATATTTTAACACACTCAATATTTTTTTCAACAGAAAAACTTTTGAATAAAACGACTTCTTTTCGCTCCAACGACACTTTACACAATGACTGCAACGCTGATCTCTAAACTTATATATTGACAACCGTATTCTAAATATACCCCGAAATCCTCCAAGGATTACCTACTCATAAAAACTAATCGTAAATAACTCCTAAAAAATAATTACGGCCTGTGCAAAAGGCGAGCGGTATATGTAAACAACCGGTTTTTCGTTGTAACGGACAAATGGTGTTCTTATAAGTTTGAGTTCTCGTTGAAATTTGTAAGTTTTTGTTTTCGTAGATTGTTTGCCCTTTAAATTTAATTTTGATTTTTTGTTTTATCTTTATTTAAGAACTTGGTTTGATAAATGACATTTTCTCGTGGACGAGACTGGTATGAATTTTGTTTCCATCCAGTTCTATAAGTATAACCCGATACATGTTAACCATTTTGTTGTCATTTGATTGTAAAGAGTTTAAGAAAACTGTTTTAACATTGCCTACATGTAGATCTCACAAGGTCCCCACATATCTGACGGTAATGTTCCTTTATTTTACTTTAATTTTATGTTCATCACTGACCTTTTCTTTTCTTTACGGTTTTAGTCGTGCCTGAAGAAGACAGCTAGGCTGTCGAAACATTTATAGCACCAATTGCGAATAATAAAATTATATCATCGTTAACCTAAACATCTTTTTATCTAGAATACAAATGGCTGCCACTGAAATAAGAAATCAACCAGACATTTGAATTCGGCTGAAGAACTCTTTAATTCGTCGTTGTGAAGCAGGTATTCTAGCAGAACATTTTTGAACAATATTTGTAATATTGATGTGTTTTAAAGAAAATGAAGTAGTTAATTATGATATAAAAGTTAAAACTTTAAAGTGTTATAATTTCGCAAATAATTGAAATAGGACATATGTTCATTAACATTCTTTTTTGGTAATTGGATTAGCTATTATACGTCAAAGTTTGATGGTGAGCTAATAAATCACCCTGTAATTTAAAGTGCCAATCTAATTCTGACGCAGTTTGGCACTAGTACTGTCTTTATGTTGGTGGTTCCACGAACTAATTCGTAATCTTCTAATTCTCGTCAACTAAGTGCAGTGTCGCACATAAGGATATTTGACATGAAAATAGTTGGTTTTTACTTTTCTCTTGTTTTAAAGCATTTTAAAGCATATTACAGGGGTATATTACCTACTATCAAAGGTCCTGAAATGGATTCGCCTAAACTATGCTTTTAGATAAACCACAAAACCCCGTGCGTTTTGTAATGTGCTTGTTGTTTTCCATCGTTCGGATCCATCATCTGAATATAGCTTTGATGCAAAAGTCAAAATATCGTTTTTCTTCTTTTTGACGTCCGATATTGTAACCTTGGGAGAGGCTTCTTGAGTCTACTCAAAATCATGACTTTATTTTTGATTGTAAGAAAATATGTTTGCTTTTTTGTTTTTCTTGTCACTTTTTTTGGTGCTTAAATTAAGTAAATTTCTGAACATTTGCTTCAAAGATTTTGTGTCAAATTTCTTTCCAATTCTGCCAAAAACATAATCTGCTTGGAAAATTTCTCAAAATGGGAAAAACTTTACTTTTTTAAAGTTCTTTGTAAACTCGCAAGATGGTAGAAGTAAGTTCAAAAGTGTTTGGTTTTAGAAGAATAACGTTATAAGTTTTAGAAAGAAATGGAAAGAAAGTTATATTTGCTAAAAACGTCTTAATTATTCAATTTTAGGTCAGAAATTCAAATGAGTGTGACCGCAATTAGTCCACAGTTCTCTGAAATGAGGCGCAACTCGCACAGGAAAGGGGGCAAGACGGCATGAAAGCGAGTTGAAACCAGTTTGTTAAATTATGCACCACCCGCGTCAATGAATATTTTAATGTTTAAATCGGTCTATTTTTGAAGTAGTATGTAATTTCACGTGAAGTTCATAAACTGCCAAAGAAAAATGAATCAAATATTTAAAATTAGACTTCAAAGCACATAATTTAAAGATCCCAATTTCAAAAATTGTTAAAAATATAACAACCTCGTATAATACTAATAATACTCCATATGTTAATACATCGCACTTTAGTAACCATATCGCTAATTAATCATTATGAAAGAAATCATGATAAGGTACCTGGCTCGTTTGGTCATTAGCGACAAAGAATAATGAAAGTAACGCCATATAATTACAGGCCTTTTTTTATTTTCTCGCAAATATTCTTAAAAAAAAGAAAATTACCTACACACATTCTATAAAAAAATCTTAAAATTTTTGTTCGGCTGGTTAATTCTTAGGTGAAAACGTGTAGGTTGTTTATCGTATGTGGAGTTCGCACGTCATCAATCAGTTCGATCTAATGCGAAGCAATCGTAGTATATCCTACACAATCGGTGTACACAGTAGTGACACAATGCACACATTTCCCGCTGAATTAATGTAATCGCCGCATAAATTATGATTGCACAGGAGCAGCCGTAATGTGTTAATATTGATTGCGATTTAATGGAAAATCGCTTTGCTTGCTAGTTGAAATAGTGATTTGCACTTCAGCTGGTCGCGGTACAATTCAAATGAATCCTCTCTTGTTATTATACGCTTGTAACAGTTTACACGTTCTCACATACAATTTTCGTGGATGTTAATGTCAATGCATTTATTCAATGTTGTTAATCCAAAGGGTATTATTATAATTTCTTTATTAACTCATCTGTTTGTTTAGTAAAGAAATAGATAATAGGGTGTAATAGAAACTTTATTACCTATTGGAAAACTCATATTAGCTTGATCTAGATTCAAAACAGCAATAAAATAGATTTTAATTAAAATGTATTTGGAAATTGGGATGTGTGCATTCTGTTCATTGAATACAAAGTAATTGAATTGGTCATATTCAAAATAGAAATGGGAATGCATCGTTTTATCATGTTAAACTAATTGCTTTGTGATTTGAATTTTTAGTGATCGTAAAGACAAATAGCCAAAATAGACAAAAAATATTCTGTTTTTAGAGTTGTGAATTAACTGTTCCTGTTTAAACATACCCGATTTTGCAAGTTATACAAGTCGTTATGCAGCTACACGGTGGTTTTTAACTTGAAACTTTCCTCCAGAGTCATTATTAATATTAAATGAAAATCACCGTTTTAACATACTTTGCCGCGACTGGAAAAGTATTTCAGCGTAATTGGTATTTATTAAAGAAACTTGCGCCAGCCACAACGCGACTTTGTCGTCCTCCTTACTCGAGGGCGTCCGGATCTTCCCATTCTACTAAGAAAAGCAAAACGACCATCGCAAGCTTGGAACGTTTAAACTTGAACATTCCGAGCTCGGTTCCGGTTGCGAAATTATGAATATGACAGAGCAGAGGCACCCGTGGGACTGAAACTACGAAGGAACTACGGTTTAGAACTTACATCCCGTCTTAGTTAAGTTCGGATTTTTCATACAGCCAACATCTTCTAAAAGTAGGAGGAGTTTGATAATATAACTGACAATATGGGGAAGTTTAGATTATAAACTTCATTAATTAATTTCTAACAGTTTCTTCGTCGAATTTAGATTATCATAACAACGCCTTTTGATATAGTGAAGTGGTTTTTCTTGAATTCGTTTCTTGAAGATCTCACAATATCTTCTTTAATAGTTCATGAGTTTTGTAGGTCCAGATCAAATAGTGACCTTTATTGGGCTTGGAAAGGTAGAGGTTAGACCGCAAAGGATTGTACCTTGTCGTCAACCCTTATAACCCACCCGCCCTACTATGAATATGCAAGGGTGCTTGTTTCCGGTCCCAATTCTGTCGCTATATCCACCTTGACTCCAGAACTTCCATGTTTTTGCAATGAAGGTTTAGCTTAGAATATTGAATTGGGTTATGTAAACTTGTTTATTTTCTTAGCAAGGTTAATTAATAGGATCGAGTGTTAATAATAATTTACTAAATATATGATAAATGTTCTTAGTTATTTTATTTTCTTTTCCTTGATAAGAAAGGAAAATAATATAAGTTCATCTGGAAGTGTTTCGCATTAAATTAAAAGCCGTTACTAGTTGCGACCGGACTGGAGAAGTTTGTTCAAATTGTATTTTGTAAAATTATACGACCTTTGCGAGATGTAACGTTCACCCTGGCTGTATACTTTAAATGGGTAATTGCTGAGACCGCAAGGGATCAGTTTGGAAATTATTGTTCGGAGCCAACTTGCCGCCACTGCTTCGTTTCGCTCCCCGTTTAACTGTTTTATTCTGGAAAGCGAGAAAGTTATATTGTACTATTGTAAATCAACCAATGGGGACTACCTACTTTATCCACCTAAATTTAGATCCCTTAAAATTAAACTATTTTTATTTATACAACTAACTTTTTCTTGCTACTTATTAGTGAAATCTAAACTTTACAGCCCTAAAAACTTTCGTAGTGTATCTTTAGCTTTTCAACATAGAATGAACTTCGTTGTCGAAAGCAATAAAACGAAAATTGCAGTTTAATCACGAAAAGTGTCAATGCCAACAAAATAAATACAACTGCAGAACCCAAACTCGTCGGTTTTCTTGGGTTCATTGTCTAAAACGATACGATCAGGCGATCGACGTCGAAGAAGTTGTCTGTTTTCCAACACTTTCGAACTGTTCGATCGTGCACCGCGCCCGAAAATGGTGAAAATAGTTTCCCGAACAAACTTTCCACCGCAAAAACAGTAAACGAAACTTTAAAACTTAAAACCGATCGTCGTGCGTACAATACGTTCATTCGACCGTTAGTTTCTATTCCGCTTGGGATATCTTTGTTCCGGTGATATATTTATCTTGATACTCCATGAATTCGATTGTAAACCTTACTTATAAACTTTAATACATTTAGTTGTTCTACAAATACGAATCTTGCATGTTTCAATTATCATATATCCACTTCAAAAGCATTCACACGATAATTAAGGATTCTGTGTTTGTTTCCGCATCTATTAAGATTTGGAATTTGACGATCCCCTCGATACGAACCAATATAATATGAAGGAGACCCTATTAACTCGGTATCTGATAGGAAAGGGAGACACTTCAGTATACAGATAGGGTTCCTTTGAAGAGCGTGCAATCAAGAATTAATGAGGAGCTCCCAGAAATAGGGTACGGTGTGACAAAGCAAATTATCGTACAATTATTTATGATGTAAACAAGAAATTAATTAGACTACGATAACTTTTAACATAAAAACGAGTAATTTGTAGATTTAATCTTCATAAACACAACAATAAAATAAGTTTAAAAATAACCAAAAAGGTTCTTGAGTTGAATTTCCATATTTTGCTTCCCGTTCGTTCGCAAAAAGTTCGCAAAAGTTTCGTGTTTTAAGATAACTCAGCACGCCGTCGTACCGACAAGACTAATATTGCGCGTACTTTTAACACCAAAGTTTTAACTGGGTCAACCGAAGCACTTTCACCACAAAGCATTTTCCGGCCAACTTGTTACCGCATCAGTCTTGTTCGCGCGAGCTGGTATACCCTCTAATTTACGCCAAAAGCCTGCGGCTGATGGTTTAATACAGCCAACCAACATTGAAACACTTCTCAACCTTACTTTTTTCATTTTAAAGTTTTATCTTTAAATAATATGTCGGTTAAATTTGAAATT